GATAAGACATAGCCGACAAAGCACACTTCGCTATTTAACCTATGTCATCCATTTCCACCCGACAAACACAAAATTTCAACGATCACGCTGCAGAGCGAATTTGAAAACGTTCAAATACCCCATACAGCACTGCAGTGTTTCCGATACTACAGATTTGACAACACAAGTTTTTAACGCCTGCTTCACTCACGAGAGAAACATTATAAATTCCTTTTTTCTCATTTTACGTACCTACTTTCCGTTCATCTTCTAAACTCCTCCCCTACTCTTCCGATCTAACTCACCGCTCCAACCGCTGCTACAATTCCACAGCGCCTGTCTCTCCACATTTTATGCGTTTTCTTTTTATTGGCGCCGTATGGTTGCGCATTCAAGGATGGGTTTGTCTTCTGTTAATCATCCCGGCATATGAAGCTCTCGCGGTCGTATTTATTTTACGAGCACTTCCGTTGCGTCTTCCCTCGAGGAACACCTTCCCTTCGCTCGCGAATAATGCACCGCAATTCATTTCGACCTCTCGCTCATGAATAATAACCTCGCCGCGCGGTCGCGAGGAGATGATTCCGGCTTTTAATTATCGCGCACGCGGATGAGAATGGGAGGAAGGAAGGAAGGAAAAATGAAAAGTATTCGTAAACGTAAGATTCTCTCGTTTTATTTTACGTGCAGGTGGTGTTCTAACCTCGCCAGAGCGCCCTGCACAATGTGTGCCTGGCATATATGCTTCAGCGCCGCCGAAAAATCTTGAGCGCTGTTGAACCGTGATAGGTCAAAAATTGTGAAGAAGTCATAAAATATACGGTCTATATAAAGGAGACTGTGGGTTAATTGTTGTAATTGGTATACAAAGCTATAAAAACGAAGACAAAAAGGATATGGAGGGATCTAATTGAATCAGTGAGAACGAAAGCACACCAACTCGGTAACTCGAAAATGCTCAATTTCCACTAAAGGCAGTTAATTTATGTAAAGATCATTGAAGTTAGCGCATCTGTCCCAACTTGGACCTTTAAAGTGTTAATAAGTACTTGTCTTTCAGCGGTAAAAATCTTTTTCTTGAAGTAACTTCTTCACCTATTGTGCAGTTTTGAGCGTGTCTTGATTATTTTAATTTTTCCGAGTTGGTGTGTTCTCGTCCTCACTGATTCAATTGGTGAAAGCGGGTGGTTTCAATGAACGAAGGAGGTAGGTGATAGACTAACTAATGGCAAGCCACGAGAGACCCTTTAGTTAGTCCATCATTTCCTCCCGTAGTCCACAAGTAACACCCATTTCAAGCAATAAGATCGCTAAATACGCCTTATGTCTTCTTTGTCTATCGTTTTGTCTATAGATTTCAACAATCAGCTCGCAGGTATTTATTCGTTATAACCGATTTCGGGTCAAAAAAATTAATATTCAGTGTTTGATACAAAATGCTCTCTGATACTTTCAAGAGTATGGGGTCGGTATTTGGAGCAGTAATTTTCATCATTGATGATGTTATACGTATGCTTTTAAAGTGAAGCATTCCCAAGATTGGAATCAACGCCAGCAAACTTTAACGGCATTTTTTAAAAGAAACTCTGTTTTGGCCCTGGAATTGTTCCCAAATATTTAATGTTTGGAATTATCTTTCCTATCTTCGGCTGTGCTGTTCACATATCTCTTGAAGCACCACTACAGAAACGAATTGAACAATCACAATATGGAAATATAGCAAAGGAACGGACGCGCGTTGATGACGGCGCAGAGATACAACTATTCGTGCTTGATGGACGTCCGTGTTGTATATACGCAAAATTGAAGGCCCTTTGGCGCGAGGCGTGAACTCGTATTGCTCCGCTGTATGCTGCCAATGAGGTGTCGCTCGGATTTGGGATGAACGTTAAATAAGGAGACTTGAGCAGTTTCTTCTATCTTCAACTGTGTTGACACTCGATTTTTTCATTAATTTTTTTTCGAATTAATGTTCGATTTATTTTTTACGATGTATTTGTAGACCTTCAAGCCACGGGTCAGTTGGACACGTTTTGGGCATCTAAGGCTTAACTGACTCTTAAGAATACAAACCAATCACAGTCTCATCAGAGATCAGTGATAAAGAGCTTCCTTTATACAAATCGTGTCTTCCTGCTTCTGAAGTTTTTACCGCCGTTAAGAATTCACTATGCGTAATGGCAGAGTTTCAAAAGGTTTATAAAGCACTCGGATTGCTTTTGTCTTACGGAGACCCGTGCTTTGTGACGGCTCGGACAAAGAAAGGAACCTGCGCCACTATTCTAAGGCAGAATATCGCGTTCAGCATTCAAATGTTGCCAATTTCCCTCGATAAAATACTTGATTTTGAGAACAATTGTGAACATCACGTAGAAGAATAAAGTCAACTTTGCTTGAACTCCCGCCGGATGTAGTGGAGTACAGGAAAACATGTCGACTAGTAAAGGAGGTATGTGCGAAAGTACAGGAGGAATGTGCTGAGGGCAGTCGCCGGCTGTGCCCAAGTGCGAATTGAAAGTTTTTCTATCAAACGAAACTATGTGCATTATAACGTGAGCCCTGTTATGCGTGTATTCTTATGGGTCTCAGGGCTCATGTCTTAATGCACATAGTTCCTTTTGGTAGAAATACGTCCAATTGGAAGGGTAAAGCAAAATCACCATCCGATGCACAGTGGATCGAGTCAGTCATAGAGGTCGGCCATACATTTTTTCAATAAAACCGCAAATTTTGATGTTTATTTCGTCACTTTTTAAATCATAATTGCACTGGTAAAAAAAAACCTCTTGGACCAATGCCGCGTTGCATTGACGTAAGAGTGCAGTTTTTTGTCGCCGAATTTAAGAGTCTGGACTCTTGTTTTAAGCGGATTTTGAACTGAATCAATGCAAAATCCGCTTGAAACAAGAGTTCAAGACTCTTAAATCCGGCGATAAGAAACTGCACTCTTACGTCAATGCAACGCGGCATTGGTCCAAGAGGTTTTTTTTTACCAGTGTGGAGCTTCTAGAGGAATATTCCACGAGGAAACCAATGGAAGCACTTTTAAAACTTCAAAATGTTGTATAAATGGAGTTAAAAGCTCTTAAAGTTTTCAAATTTTGTTCGACCTCTCTTTGACTCAATCCATTGTGCGCTGCATGTGCTGAGGTGCAGACTCTGTTGCTCAGCGTGCTTCTATTTTCTCCCGTGATTTTCACTGCAAATTCTCTCTTAAACCAGGTCAATTTCGTAAGATTCTGTAAACATTTCGGGGCAGAAAATTAAATTTTTCCGGAGGCTTCAAATTCCATCAGGAAATTCGGCAAGGTCGGAATGTTCTTACGGCATTCCTCCGTAGGAGTCCTACGGAGGACGGAGTGCGGGCGAGGACGTGGAGAGCCGTGGCTCCGGAGACGGGGTTCAAACGGGGGGGTCTTTAAATTGCATGCCTCGTCTGTCGTTCATCGATTCAAAGGAGCTCTCCTGTTTTATTTTCCAAACCCACTGCAGACCTTAAATTACCCCTTTACTGTGTCACCGGGTCATGCCTCCCGTATTATCAACTTCCTCCTCTCCGTGCGCGGCGCTGCCGAGTTCGACGGTGAACTCAGACGCTGATAAATCAGGTCTGAATGCATGGCCTTATGTTTTAAATCGTGGCGTCGATGAACCCAACACTGGGAAAAAAAACCACATTGGATCTCGAGTCCAGACTCTTGAGAACATTGATAAGAAAAAGGACTCTTGATTCAAGCAGATTTAAGCTTACATCAAAAGGAAATCCGCTCAAATTAAGAGGCTTGGTTCTTGATTTAAGCTTAAATCTGATTGAATCAAGAGTATTTTTTCTTGTCGATGTTTTTGAGAGTCTGGACTCTAGATCCAATGTGGTTGTTCCTTCCAGTGTATAGTATTTAAATATTTGTATTTTCAAAGTATTATATTGATACGTTTTCGAGAAATTTGCCTCTAAAATCCGCCAATATCCTCCCAATGCTTCGCTTACGGACGGGTTAGCGCGCGCTTGAAATCGCATACCAATAATGGCTATCCAGCTCCGATGTTTTCTCATACGGGGATCAGTGGATAGTCCATTTTTTTATTGGTCGCGTCATTTGAAGCGCGCGAAAACACGTCCATGAGCGAGGCATTGGGGGGATTTTAGCGGATTTCAGAGATAAATTTCTCGAAAACCTACCAATATGATAGTGCCAAAACTTTGAAAATCTAAAGATCAGAGCATCAAATGCTGATTAAATCTACGAAACTTTAAAAAACTTACAAAAAATCAAGGAAAAGTAGACTAACAGCAACCGCAACGCCCATTGAACACACGTAATTTTGAACGATCTGGACGAGCAGACAGTTCCCGCACAGAAGTATTGTCATTTTCGGCAACACGAGTATCCGCTTCGATTCTAAGTTACCCTACCGACAGTATATTTTAGAGAGCCCGCTCTGCTATATTTTCTGTGGTGTAAAAGTTACTTCCGGAAGGCATCGCTGAGAATCGTCCAATGATGACTGATGGCTGAGAAGTTGAGCCAGGATGTTTTAGCAAGTCTAACTTATTTGCAAAAACTCGCAGAGCAAAGTGCTTAACATTCATCAGTCATCAAGAGGCAAATAACATGGTCAGCAAGTCGCGCATCGATCAGCGTTAACTTTCGAGCTTAACTTTTGCCTCGCCCATTAAACTGCTTAGATTGTTAAACATATTGGGTCTCTGAAATATATTGTCTCTAAGACAGAGGCGGATCCAGAGATTTGGCAACACCGGATTCCCTCCGTTTAAACCTTATGATAAATAATCGATTCTTGTCAGAGCGCCTGGTCCCTCTAAGAATCGATACATTTCCATAGGTTGAAATGGAGAAAAACAATGTTGCTAATTGGCGTGACCCGCCAATGCTCTGAGATGGACAGTACTACCACAATTGTAAGAATAGCTTTCGGCATGTGGCAGGATCAACTTGTTTTGTTTCCCATTGAAACTACATACATATGCCTAATTTTTCGTTTTTATCTTTTTTTCGCAGCTTGGTGGCGATGAAGATTCCAACGATTCCTGGGCCCGGGTTATTCCCGACGGGCGACTACAAAAAAGACGGCCTCTCATTATTCGCCAAATTAATTAGGACGAAAAATGTGGAAGGAATGGACGGCGAGATTTCGCTCAAAATTAGGACTGAAATCAAATCGGATAAAAAACTTAAATTGAAGGTGAGTTCTTTTGTGTACCTCATTCTATTGGAGCTGCACCGAGGTAATACCTACAATGAGAATTGAGGCCTCTCGAAAAATTAATTTTGAATTTCAAAAAAGGTTTATATGAGACTGTTCACGGGAAAAGGCACCCTAATACATGATGGCTAATTTCTCGGCCGGGAAATTTTTGTCGAAGGTGCGTGGAAAATCAGTATCTGAATTTTTGAAAAAAAAAAAGATTCTCTCTTACTTACCTCAAAGATCGCGTTTTGAGCTATGTAGTTCAGTTTAGCGACAGTGAAGGGCGGGTATTACAATTTTCGTGCCAAGAGAAATTTCAAAATTTTGAATTCTAAAATAAGCAGATTAAATTTTAAATCTGTAAAACACTTCTTTAAATTTGACACCAAATATCTCCATAATCCTGAGTTTCTCGGCACGGAAAGCCCTTGATCCATTCAATGGTCAGGCGTACACGCTAAATGGGTGTATTTTATGATGTGAAGACTAAATTCATAAAATCGCCACACATTTGAGATATACTAAAAGCTAAGTTTCTCCCCACATTTCCACAGAAATGAGAGTTGGCATGGAGATTAATAAAACGGTAAAATCTGCTGAAATCAATGTAATTATCAACGCTGGTTTTTCCCCCGAGTGGAAATTGGATTTGGTGGCACGATTCCGTGACTGCAAAGGCTTATTTTCCCCCGTGAGTTGATTATTGTGGCATCCGATACAGATGCTCTGTTTTGCAAAAAATTCGGACAAGCCAAATATTCATTATCATGATGATTTAATCCTCCTCCCAATAATGATTCATAGTCTGCAGAATAACGTTGTATGAATATAGAGATCGGAGTAATGATGGTTGATGATTGTGTTAGTCGACCGGAGATCATCGCGGAAATGCAACAGCCATGAGTGTGATTCTCCCTCGCAGGGTATTTTAGAAGAGCCGAGGGGAGGGGGGACAATTTGATCGGAATCGATTGCTTTCGAACAAGAGAGGGGTGGAAGCAGGTGTTAGGGTTCTCGTCAGCAAGCAATTGTGAGGATAAATAGAGAAGAAGTTGAATTGATATCGGTTCGTAACCTGACCCCCCTGTCCCCCTCTCCTGGAGTGCCGTGTGCCACGCGTTGTTAGTCTCAGAATTGAGTGCAGGTTGCAATTGATGTAGTTGTGATCACCACGTTTGGGATCTCTTACCGTCTGCGTGGATACGAATTCAAATTAGGGTGGATTTTGTATGGTTTTTTCTTTCTCTTTTTTAACATTATAGAATTGATCGATTGTGGAAAAAGGGACCTTAGCTCCTAGAGACAATAATTTAGGAGGGTCATTTTTGTTGAGTCAACTAACATTTGTTAGTTACTGGTAACGTTTTTCAGAAACATTACATGCAACTAACATTTGTTAGTTGACTCAACAAAAATGACCGTCCTAAATAATTGTCTTTAGGAGCTAAGGTCCCTTTTTCCACAATCGATCAATTCTATAATGTTAAAAAAGAGAAATAAAAAACCATACAAAATTCATCCTAATTTGAATTTGTATCCACGTAGACGACAAGAGATCCCAAACGTGGTGATCACATCTACATCAATTACTGAAAAACGTTACCAGTAACTAACAAATGTTAGTTGTATGTACTGTTTCCGAAAAACGTTACCAGGAACTGCGGGCCGATTATTGAAATGTGTAGACAAAGCTATAGGCAAAGAAGACATAAGGAGTATAGAGCGATCCTATTGGTTGAAATGGATGGTTCTCATAGACTAAGAGGGTAACTGATGGACTAACTATCGGGTCTCTCATGGGTTGCCTTTAGTTAGTCTATTACCCACGTCCTTTGTCCATTGCAACCACCCGCTTCCACCAATAGAATGCCTCCATATCCTTATTGTCTTCTTCGTCTATTGCTTTGTCTATCAATTTCAATAATCAGCCCGCTGGACAGTCTGGAAAATTTTACATCCTTCTTACGAGAGTTTTCTCGCAACTCTTTTCAAAAGAGTCCGTACTTACAAAACTTTTCGAATTTATTGTTAGCAGCAACGTTTTTTTTTTTTTTTTTTTTTTTTTTTTTTTTTTTAAGGAGGAAGAGATTGTATACCTCAGCTTCATTGCAATATAACTTGGCTCTCCCCTATAAACTTAGTCTATCTACTCTCAACGCCTAGAAAGTCGACGGTGAAACTGCAAAAAGCGGATCTCGGTTGCAGCACTTCAAAATCTCCGCTCATACTTTATTTTTTAAAAGAGAACCCAACCAACATCATGACTTGATATTTTCACAGAATTTTCATCCCCCAGAGAATAAAAATCGCCGATATTTTCAAAAGATGACGCTCGGCAGTTTCCTAAATAGATAGTAAAGTATGACAGGAGGTCTGCAACGCCGCAAATCAAGAAACGCATCTCTCTAGTTTCACCATCGAAGTGTAACGACGAGTGAACGCGAAAGTTAGTTCTCCTTCAATTCGATGACTATGCAATTTGACCTACTTTGACGTCGAAATAGTTGTATCTCGCATTGCGGCTCCTTTAATCCGGAGTTGATAATGAAACAAACAGACGGTGAAACTCCGAGACCGCGTAACTCGGTTTGCGACGTTGCCAACTTCTTGTCATTCGTTAGTCTTGAAAAGGGAGACTGTTCAACATAAATCCTTAGGAACTTCCGTCTTTTTTCCTCTCAGCACGAAGGGAACCTCGAGGAATCTTGTTGATTATGGGAGTTTTACCGTTGAAACGGAGTTAACTACCTAGAATAATCGTGTAATCGAGGTTTTTTGCATGATACGAAAGCCGAACAGTTGGGACCTCATTGAAAACCAACCGCACGGCAAGTCTGCCGTGCTAAGAAAAATCGCCGCATGAGCATTCGAAAGTTGTCGAATTTATTCCTAGAAAATATTTATTTTTGAAGAAATTTATACATTTTTCTCCTTGAATTTTTCAGACTTTTTAGATCCAATTACAGGTAGAATCCTTTGACAAATAGGAAGAGATATAATCCCAAATTTTCCTGCAAATTCGTGATTTCTCGGGGAAAATTTGGCAACGCCAGATGACTCATACTGCGTTCTTCCTTGGCAAGGCAGACGTAGAACCAAACTTATTTTTTCAGCGATAACTGCTCACGGAACGGTACTCGTTATCGATGAATCGAGCAGCAGGCGGTGGGGAACTTCTCAAACTTGGAGATTCATCGAAAATATTTATTCTTGAAGAAAGTTATGCATTTTTTCCCTTGAAATTTTCAGACTCTTTAGATCCAATTACGTACAGAATCCTCTGAAAAATTGGAAGAGAAATAATCCCAAATTTTCCTGTAAAGTCGTGCTTTCTCGGGGGATTTTTAGCAACGCCAGATGGCTACATGCGGCGTTCTTCCTCAGCACAGCAGAAGTAGAACCCAACTTATTTTTCCAGTGATAACTGCTTACGGAACGCTACTCGTTATCGATGAATCGGGCGGTAGGCGGTGGGGAACCTCTCGCACCGCTCATCACGCATGAACCGGAGGCTGTTCATCACAGAGGCAGCGGCAGCACAATAAAGAGCAAAGAGCCGTTTCGGAGGTGCCGCGCTCTGGCGGGGATAGATGGCGAAAAAACGTAATTGATGAGATCTCCGGGTGTTTTTACGTGAGGGCGGGTTTGCCCCGCGCGCCGACGAGACAGAGTGCCGTTTGCCATTCGCTCACGTAGAGCGGGGGCGGGGGAAGAACTCGTCTCTCCGATGACGTAAGGACTTGAGTCGATTCTCACGTGAGCCCCAGGTAGGATGGAGTCAAACGGATGGTAGGGCCCACGCGAAAGTCGAGTTACAGAATTGCGTCGGTAGAGCGGTGGACCGCGAGACGGTTTTATCATCTCCCTCAGATAAAATTAAAGAGCAAGCGAACCGGAAGCATTGACGTTTTAAATTAGTTTTCGCAGAAACACCTCGCTCGATCGCTGAGCTTAATTTCCCACGCTCTCGATTCGGAATGGGAAGGCGGGCGGTCGTGGGTTCTGAAAGAGCGGAAAATGAAATGAAAAATTGATTTGCTAATAAAAAAGGAATAAAGGGTTGTCGATAACATTGATAATTGGGTTGGAATTGGACTCGAAAGTCTTGAAAACAGACAAAAATAAAAATGTGTCATTGTGTTGTCTTTATTTCTGTACAATAAACACCTGAGGTCTTAAAGCAACTGATGCCGTTATCTTACGTATAGAAAATCTGAACAGAACCAAAACACTGTAAAAGTTTACTGAGAAGGCGTAATTCAAGACAAATCGTGGACCATTTTATATATTTCAAAAAATACGAGTCAAAACTGGAACACTTTATTATTCACTAACAATTTTTCTTTAATTATCGTGCCGTCTGTTTCAGACAGTTATGACGTGATGCTTTTAATTTTGTTTTGTTATATATCCCTTCGATGCCTAAGCCGAGCGTACAAACACGCGCTTCGTGGGTTGTATTGGACTGGCACATACGAGCTTTCGATATAAGTCCACAAATATATCCTAAAAAACGAATCAGACATCAAATTGAATAAAAAAAGAAAAAAAAAATCGATCGCCAATGAGCCCAAGATAGGAGAGAAGTAATAGGGCCTCGTTTTTCAACTTTCCCTCCAAATCTGCGCGACACGTCATTAGCAGTGTAGACCTGAGCATTGCGAGTTCACGCCTCACGCCATAGCGCCTTCAATTTTGCGTATATGCAACACGGACATCCATCAAGTACGAATAATTGTATCTCTGCGCCGTCATCAGCGCGCGTCCTTCTCGCTCTATTTCCGTGCTGCGTTTGTTTTCATTTATCTTCGCGTTAAATAAATCGCGTTACTGTTCTGATTTTATATTATAGAGTGAGATTAAACAGTTTTTGCAACACGTAACTATAAATTTTTGTATTTATTTGTTGTTTATTCAATATTATTGCTGCTAACCCAACAATGTCTTGGCACGTGCAAAATTTACTGGTGGACACTATCTCTAGTCATTTGGTT